AATGCAGTATGAACATAGTCTCTCACAACCTAGAATTATTCCCCCATGACCATGCTTTATACTCTCTCATATTCAAATGTTAAGCTTATGTTGTTACAGCGTTGCTGTTTTTGTAAGATCACGTGATTCTCCAAATATGTACTTTCGGTCTGACGTCACCACATTTACGATGGCTGGCCGACCTAAAGCTCCCGTAATCAGAGTCCTGTCTCTGAAGGACAGAGAGGTGAGATTTAATGTGGCCAAGCGCAGGTAATATTATAGTCGAGTGCTGTATTCTAGCATGCTTTGGTACTACGTGGGGCGTCCCATAGCTTTCAGCGACTAAGCGGCGTCTTTGAGGATTGATTGGTAGTTTGTTGAATATAGAACGATGTATTTTGTTGTTGTTGTAGTGCAACATAAGTTGGAGAGTCCCCTGTTCCTATGGTAGTGCGAAAATTATTGGATACAAGCTTGTTATCAATGGCAACCAACATGGAGACTTGCTTCCTAGAGATGCTGTACAGCATAGAATTGTCAATCTAGAACATGGTATGTAACACTTCCATATTTCGTTAGACCTCGACAAATTTGAAATAATCCAGTTTCCAATCCTCCAATGCTCTGTGTTAGCCTCATTTGTGCGCAAAATATTCCTAATTGTGAGAATAAAAGTGTGAGATTTCAAATCAATTCCATTGTCTTTCTTGTCAAATTCCATGCGTTTTCTCGGGCTATCAATGAAACTAAAGAATATTTTGCGTGGTTTTGAGGCTAACACAGAGCAAACCAGAACTCGAAATCGGAGTATTGCTGTGAAGATATATCAAAGAAAGACGTAAATAGATTGCGGGAAAATTCAAACGATTTGCCACCATTCCCCTCACATTGCTTACCATCAACTGCTTCTTTTCATTGCATCAAGATTATCATACGTAGCTCCTTCATTGTTTCAGGTTCCTTCCAACATGTCAGTCTCATCGCTATCACAGGTCACATGGTAGGAGACAGCCCGTCATCTAACGTTCTAACCATTGCCTGTCCCTTCCCTCCCCCACCACCAGAAATAGGCCAATGTCTCAGCCCCAGTCCTAATGCCATTTCAATATCATGGGCTCCTGTTTCCATGACGACCGATGTCAAYCAAYTAMGGCTRTTGTCTAGCTACGATGTGTTTGTTGATGACGTAAKTCATGGKTCTTGTCCAACTGGTGACGTCACAAACCTATTCCAGGATTCTTTTATCTATACTATACCAGAATGCGTTCCAGGAAGGTACGTGATAGTACTAGTAATAGTTCAGTTTTGATATTTTGAATAAATAATCCTTTTGTTTCCCATGATACTTGCCTTCAGTTCTTTTGTACCATTTATCGAGAATAGGAATTAGAGTATTGATCCCAAACTTGGTCTAAACTCGTCTTTATTTAGTTTTTTTTTTCTTTCAACAAATGCAGGAAGTATTCCATATATGTCAGAGGTCACGTGAGTCCACAGATAATCGATTCCAGTCCTACAGCTTATATGTGTGGTTGCTATGGTGAAATTTCAAACATTCTTCAAGTCAGCTATGCAAAGCAGGCAGTTGCTGCTAGTCTTTTAGTAGACGCCATAGATGAAAATAAAGTGGAGCTTTCGTGGAACGTGTCTCCTGATGGTACCCCCCATGGGATTAATGTACGAAAACTCATTGATTGTTTATTCATATTGTAGGCGAGCTTATGAGTTCAGCTCACAAACAGACGAGAAATTTGACGGAAATTTGTTCTACACGAGAATMAAATCGTTTTACAAAGATATCCTTCAATCTAGTCTCATTTTTAAAGCTTCATAACAAAAGATCGATTATAATTCACTAAATCGTTTTCTTCGTTTCTAGGGTTACGTCTTACGGGTTGATGGGCGTATCCATGGCAACGTCCTAGATCCAGAAGCCAGATCAGTAAAGCTGACAAGCCTGTCACTAGGCAACGACATTAATTTAACTTTGACACCACTATTGGACCAAGAGCGAGTTGAACAGCCACAAGTCAATCTAAATTTCCCCAGCGAGGGACAAGACAGTGGTGTAGAAAGCAGCTCAAGTTTTGCTATCGATAAGCATGTGGCGTCACGTGACTTGGGCCCGTCCTCGTGTCTCACGCTTCACCTATGGGGC